AAAGGCTAGAAATCAGACAAGCATTACCATCCAAGATGCGACATCGCAAAGGGCAAGCTGAAAACACCAGCCCCCACCATAGCCGTCACATTGTGAAAAGCCGAGTACCACCATTTAGCATTCCTCGACGAGGTAATCGGAAGCCAATCATCAAGAACCTTATGCCGCTCCCCGTTCGTCTCCACATTATCCCGCCCCATTTCAACCTCGATCAAATCCGACAGCAATGAATTCGATCGATTGATTAAGAAGAAGAAGAAGACCTCTTGTTTCCCGTTACCCCAGTGCCCTAAGACCTGCCTGCGGTCCTGTTTATGTAGCGGAGTTGGGATTCCATTTTTAGAGCTCCGCCGCACTGGAGTTTCCAATAATAGAATCGGGTCCTTAGGTTCATGGCAGGGATTCTGAATCTTTGGTGGGATCCGCGGATTGGTAGGGTAAAGATTCCGATATAATGACACGTGGTGAATGGGGGACCGTCTGTTTGATATAATAAATGAAATTTGTTTTGGAAGGTTGGAGGAGGGTTTTGGGTGGCAGGAAATCTGGGCCTTACGAAATCTCTATTTTGTTTTCACTTATCTGTCATTTGTGTAAAAATAGGCGTCAAGTCTGGACCGTCATTATGAAGTCATCTAATTTGGCTATTTATAGGCCCCAGTTAGGTGCCCATTTACTAATCTGACGAATAATATATTAAAGTAAATTTTGAAGCAAAAACATTATAGACTTATCAAGTATAATAATGCCTCTTACAATATATATATATATATATATATATATTTATTTATTGGAATCATACTTAAGAAATAGAGTGTACATAAGAAGAGATAGATAGATTAACAGTAAAAAACGTGTGTATCTTTATTAAATGTTTCCTCTATTTATAAATGATTTAATGCAATAGTGATATTATATTATTACCCCAATTTAGAGAGGGTATATATTAGGATATTTCTAATACTTTATAAGCAACAACTAATTGTTAGAAGCCTTCTGGCCCTGTTGGTTAAGCATAATTAGCTTGGCTCGACTGAGTTAGCTCAATCGCCTGAATTTGGTCGGTAACCTCACCGGGTGGGCTACAATCTCCAGCAAAATGTCTTTTGGCCTCTATTGGATAATTAGCGTACAAGTTCGTCGTAAGTCGGGCGCAAATCCGATGCTAGTTTTACTTTCAAACGTTTCTGGAAGCATATATTGATGCTATTTTGCAGGTTTCTTGTAGTAAGATGTTTTATGGAAAACAACTCACCAATTGGGTTTGTTATACTGCATGATAGATCATTGCGTCGAGTTGGATTTCCTGTAGCTGACGTTATGGACACTATCCTGACTTGTTTCCGAACGAATGACTTTTATTTGGATCAATTAGCCATTTTCTTGCAAACATTTGAACTCGGTTGGCTTTGACCAAGTTGATTTGGCTCATTTGGCTTGAATCTCTTGGCTTGGTGGGTGTTGGCATCAATTTTTGATGTCACCCATGTTGGGTGTCTTTTCAAATGTTACGGGACCATGTAACGTTTATACGTAGCTTCCAGTGGTTCGAGGGATCCATAAAACCCTCTCACGCATGTTTTTAAAAAAATCAGGGTTTGGGTGGTACGCCCGCACTGTGAATTGGGGCGTCGTTGACATTTATGTCTTCTACATAAGGCCTATAAAAATGTTCATTTTTGAAGTTATGGGACACAATTTTAATCATACATAGTCTCCCATGCATTACAAATTGATAATATCAAAAAAATTTCATGAAAATCGAGGTTTATCGGTCCAGGCAGGCACCTAAACACTAGTCCCAGGTGCCTAGGCACCCAAAATAGCCTTCAAGGGCCTTAAAACCTAGAGCCTAGAAAGGAGGCATTGGTCTTCGACGCTTAGGCGCTAGTTCGAGTGTCTAGATGCCCATAACAGCCCCTATGGGCCACAAAAAAAATAGGCACCTGAAACTGTTCCAAAACAGTCTCAAATCCGAGAGCACTGAAAGTGGGCATTCGGAGGCTGGCGCCTCAACGCCAGAATGTTTTCAGAACCTGATTTCTCCTCAGGTTATTTGCCGAATCTTGCCCGAAATAACTCCCCATGTTTGGAATAAAAGGAGGATTTTCATGGGTGAGGTGGCCATTTCATTGGACACTTGGAGAAATTTGAGAGAAAAGGGCAAGCAATTTTCAGCCAAAAAAAAAAAAAGGAAGAAGTAACCAAGGTAAGCTCCTCTCCTGGTTGGAGTTCTTCGCTGGCTTTTTTGCTCTCCTAGTCTTCTCTTTATCCTGGTTTTTTGCTATCTCTTTGGTTTTCTCCTTGGTTGGCTACTGTGCTAAGTTCTCTGGACTTCTTTTTGGCTTGAAGAGTTACTTTTTGCTGGGCTTCTTGGGAAGTTCTTGGGGCTTGATTGGAGTTCCTTCGGCTTGACGTGAAGAAGGGCTTGTGCAGGTGAAGGGGGAAGCTTCTTCCCCTTCTCTCATCTCCTTCCTCAAAACTTCATCTTTTCCTTCCATCAAAATCTCTGTTGCACATCTTCTTCTTTCTCCTTTGCCAATTTCCTTTAGTATGTGAGGGAGTTTCTTTGGATGAGCGGCATGAGGGAGTTTCTTTGGATGAGCGGCATCACTGAGGAATGAGAACTTCATCACTCCTAAGGAAGAGAGAGAGCTTCATCTTAACAAGGTAGGAACAAGTGCAAGCAAAGAGAACATTCCGTCAACCTTCACGGCAATGAGAACTTTTCTAAAACCCTTGTTCTTTATCTCTATCAATCCCTTAGGTTTGTGTTAGAGGAATTAGTTCTAAGTTATGTTTCCAAAATGAAAATCAAGATTAACAAACTCGGATATTGCTGGCCTTCGATGACCCTTGAATACATGGAGTAAGCTAAGCGATGCCATCATTGCCAGGTATTTAGTCCAGTACCTCACCAGCCTCCATATGCACTGCATCCCACAGTCGCATCATGGCCCTTTGAGGCCTAGGGAACGAATATCTAGGTCAAACCACATAAATCACACTGTGTTTGGTTGTTTATTTGTTATGTGAATTTGTTTCCTACATTGTTTTGCACAACAATTGGTGTTAAAGTCCGATCAATGATTCTGATGACAACTACCAACGATGTTGGTGAAGTTACAAATGCTAGACAAAAAGATTGAAAAAAGTTGGACTATGAGATCTGGTAGAGTCATTATTATAGTATGCGGTTACTTCAATATCCACCACGATGGTGAAAACTATGGTGATTCATCAGGTAATTACATATCCCTTCAAGATCGAGACTATAAAATTTGAAGGCAAACAAAACTTTGGCATGTGGTGATGTGAGGTGACAGATGTGTTGTACTCTTTGAATATAAAGGAATTTCTTGATAGCGAAGTGTGGAGAATCGTCTCTATATAAAGCGTCGACTTTATAGGTTTTAGATGAGATGTTGGATTATTATTGATGAGTACTTGAACGATTTTACAAAACTTTTGGTTGATATGTTAAATATGGATGAGAAATTTGGAGATGAAGATAAGACACATCTTTACTAAATTCACTCTGGGACGAGTAAGAAAAATTCAGGATAATACTCATTCATGAAAATGAAGTCTTGAATTATGGTGACGTGAGCACAATATTATAGAACCAAGAGTTCTGTTGAAAAGACAAATAGTTTACAAAGATGGAGTCGATTGAGACACTTACACTCCAACGTGATAAATCTAAGAAAAAGAAGAATTGGGTAAAGAAGTATGACAGAGACATTATTTTTCAAAAGCACGACAAGTCTCATGGGCGTAATTAAGGTAAAAAATCAACGTGTTTTTTTGTTTAGAGACCAAGGATTGTAAAAAGGATTCTCTGAAGTTAAAGAAGGGAAAGGGAATTTCCTCTAAGGTGAAAGTTAATCTTATTATGAAAAAAAGAAACGAGGAGAATTCAGATGTATCATTATCTACAATTTTGCACAGTTTGCATGTAGATGATTTGTGTCGGATTCTGGACACAGATGATGCCAATCACATTTGTTCTCATTCAAAGTGATTATGTACGTATAAGAAGTTCGAGTACAAGCAATGATCAAGCTTATCATACAATTGGTGTAGGCAGCGTCTTTATCAAAATGTATAATGGTACTATGAGGGAGTTGACCGGTGTTAGACATATTTTACATATCATAGAGAATTTCCTATCAGCTCATCATGTTTGTATCAAGTACATTGATGCAATGTACCATTTTATTTGAAACTTGATTGATGATGAAAATGTTTTATTAAATACAGGTACGAAGGAGAATTCAACAGACATGCTGCCAAATGAACTACCGGTCCAGAAGTTCACATCATGTAGAAGAGTGGTGAATATTCGAGCTCATGATTGATTTTTCATTTGAGCATTTTGAAGAACTATGCGAGGTTTGATCCTTTCAAAAGCGAGTATGTAGGCAACCATGTTGATGCGGTCGTTGTGGTGCTAGTGCTCATTTTGATCATCTCCCACTTATTTGGAAATTGGAGATGACATGGAGATTGTAATGAAAAGTATTAAAACTAATGATTGTAAATTATGAATCGTGTATATTAAGAATATTGATACGAGGAGATCTAATTATGTGATCTATTTAAGATTTGAAATAGTTTTAATTTATATGTCCAATCCTCTCTTATTTATAGAAGGAATTATGAAGATTTTGGGGTTTGTTGAGTTTTGACCTTAATTCGACTTGTTTTTCCCTCCTCCCTACGTGGATGTAGGTGGATTTGCACCGAACCACATATATCACACTGTAATTGTTCGCTTGTTGTGTGAAGTTGTTCTTGGTATTATTTTACACAAGACACGCTCCAATTAAATCAACTCCACAAAACCTTCAAATTCATGGTCAGGAAATCCATAGATGAGAAGAGAATAAAAAAAAAAAAAACAAGAATGACTTCCAAAATTTCAGGAGTTAGAAGTCAACTTTAAAGAAAAAGCAAATTCTCACTCAAAAAGCCTCCCCAAGTACAAACAATCCATTTTCGATTGCTTCATCTACCCACTGGAGGAACACAGCAGCTATGGCTCCTGGTTGATAAGCTCTGCACTTCCAAACCATTTGCCTCAACACAAAAGAATTTGTTCGTAAGCTTTGAATTCACTAAACCAGATAACTTTGATGAACTCCTCACAATGTGACCATAACCGACGTGTTTGACTGCACTTTTTTTGACATTCTCATTGTCAACATAAACAACCTTCTGCTTCTCTGACAATGGCGATGAGACCCGCGAGCAAGAGAATGGGCTGACCGGAGTTTGAGGTTGTGAACAAGGAGCTGACTGTGGTCTTTCCTGGAAGACTCCCTTCATTAAACTCATAGCAAACTTCTTTGTAGCTGGGCTAGGCGTGGATGTCCTCACTGCAACCGTCCGCTTATTGTTCATGAGGTAAGATGCTCCATTTGTGTAAGTTTGCCGGAGGGGCGTCGGAATCTCCTCTCGTTCACTCCATTTTGTTACAGAATTAATCGAATCACAGTCATCGACAAACTTCTTTTTATGTCGCGACAATGTAAGAAGAGTCCTGAGTTTTCTTGCTGCAGTATCAAGAGAACTTAAAGGCTTCTTCTTGTTTGAATTGCCCTCATTCTCACTCCAGCTGACACTGGAGCATGAGCTTAGCCTCCCACTGGCCTCAGCTGCTTCAATTTCACTGTATAAGATAATCTCTGAATCTGTGATCCTGAAGGAGGTTCCTGGGCTGCATCCAATGCCAGATTCCATTTTCGACTGTGAAGTCATCACAGATTTAATCCTGGGGTTCTTCAAATTCGATATCCCTCCAAAAGACACAAATTTTCTAATCAGTAAATTTGACGTGGCAGAGCAAGCCCGTCGGCTGAGCAGGTCAAGCGGAGTCATGCCGTCGATATCCTGAACATTAATGTCGATAGAGGGAATGGTCATAAGAAGCTCAACTAGATCAGAGTGCAAAGCGTCGCCAATCACGGCAACATGGAGAGCTGTCCTTCCATTGTTGTTCTGTATGTTGATGACCTTTTGAATGTTTATGATGTTGATAGACATTAATCGTCGCACCAGCTCCATCTGCTTGTCAACGAGACGAAATCCATGCATTTGAAAACCTGCCACCACCATGTGAAGGAAAGTATCGCCATAGTTGTTTTTCAATTGAGACGATGATGGTGATGCGGAGATCAAAGCCTCGATGACTGGTAGATGCCCTCTAAATGCTGCAATATGCAGTGCCGTGTTGCCTCGATTGTCTCTGGTTTCGACGATGTTCAATGTTTCCAGTAGATCTTTAACTACCTGCAAGTATCAAGTATTTGGAACTAGTCAGCTTTGGAGTGAATAACACTTACATGCACCGGTACTCTGGAAGTTTTCACATTTACAAATGGAGCTATACATGCAAATGAGGCTTTTTTTCCTTTTATTTACAATTAATGTTGACAGAAAATCAATGAATGCATCCTTGACTCCCTTCATCTATTTCATTTGACCCAAGGCATTAATGATGTAGCAATTACATACAGACCACCCAAAACATTGCTTATTACAAATCAACCACCCTCATTCATCCATTTTTCAAATTCTCACTCAGATGTCAAGATTCATGTTAAAATCCCAACCCACATGTTTCTTTTTTTAATCAAATTCTCAATAGTTTGATTGTGGCACGAGCAAACATACTGGTTCAGTAGTTCAAAAAGATCGCCCGGGTATTTAATTTATAAATTTCGATGATTTGGATGATCTGTATGTAATTATCCCAAAATTTTAAGACGATGTCAGGTTGTTATAGGACTGATAAACGCATGAAAATGATAAAAAGTTGCATCCTTTCCATTTACTATATATGATATAAATTGAAGCATTTTTTATCCTTTTCCTTGAATTAAATAATAAAAAAACTATCAATACAGGAAAAAGTAATAAAGGGAGGATTTGTCAGTCATATTAATTCAATATGACTCGATAAAAAGAAAAAAAAGAGTTAAGGAAGATTTACATGCATAACATACATACCATTCAATGACTATGCATTTACAAATCTAACATACCTAAACTTCAATTTTTACATATATATATATATATATGCCACTTTACCTATTCATGAAAAGGCATATTTCGCCTTTTAATACTTAAAACAGTGATATATTTGTATAGGTGATATGAAAGATTTGTGCGGTGTAAATGTGAAAAAGTAAAGTTTAAGTGTTAGATATGTAAATAGATAGGAACTGGGTGGTATATATGTAAACGCCCCTTTCATTTAATGTGTGCTAAGCAGTTTACTGACACTCTACAACAAGCATACTGTGTGTATTGAATGGATGGCATGATCAATGTACAACACAAGCTACAAGCAACTGCATTATGCTTGACTAACATAATAACATTCATTTTTGGCTTGTTTTGAGCATCTTCCATATTTTACATGAAGAAGAAGAAAAAATACAGTTGTGTGAAATCATTTCAGTCATCAAAACATGCATTCTATTATTTGAGATTTTGTGACAAGTAACTTATGGAACTATGGAGCATAATAATTAAAAGAAGGGACACTTCCATAAACACCACACAATTTTTATGTATATATATATCTAGCATCTAAAATTTAGCTTTTTCACATTTATACCACTCAAATCTTCCTTATCACATCAAAAGTACCACCATTTTAACTTTTATAAAGTGAAGTACATGTTTTCATGCACGGGTAAAAATTGAGGTTTAGTCATTAGATATGTAAATGCATAAAAATTAATTGGTATATATGTAAATCTTCCCTTTTTAAAAAAAATGCACAAAAACAGCTAATGCCAATGAAATCACAAGCAAAATGCAGAAAAAATAATAATAATTACAAATCAAATCTTTAAGCAACTCTCACCTCAATTTGGCCTCTGCCAGCTGAAGCATGCAAGATGGTAGCTCCCTGGTTATCTCTATAAGCCAAAACATCCAAACTGTCCATAAGAAACTCCTTCAATACTTCCAAGTTCCCTCCCCTTGCAGCAGCAAAAACAGCCCTGTTAACCATCTCCCACCTAAAAAATGAAATATCATCCCTCCCACTGTCTAAATCTTCCTCCCTCCTTCCCCCATCTCCAACCAAACACTTAGGTGATACTGCACTCTCAAATATGGTCTTGAACACCTCAACGTTCTTGCTCTTTGCAGCCGCGTAGAGTATATCAGTAACACCATACTCACCTTCTCCAAATACTAAGAGTGGGTCTCTCTCAAGTAGCTCGTGGACGAATCCATTATCGCCGGCCGCCGCTGCAGTGTATAGAAGCCACCCGCCGTAGCCTGCTCGAATAAGGGTGTTCTTATTGTTTGTGGTTTGACATTCAAGTAGGAGGTTGTGAGCAACTATGGACTGGCATTTGGCAGCATGAATAGAGTGGTTGGCTTCATCCCACAAAGATTCAAGCCGTCGGATCCGGCGAAGGGAGGTGAGCTTGATTAGGAGATTCATGTCAAGATGGAGGAGCTCGCGAACAAGATCATAGTAGCCGTTGGCTGCCGCTATGTCTATGGGTGAAGCATACCACCATTTGTCCCCGGTGCTCTCCCAATGGAGAGGAAGATAGGAAGGAGACATTTACCAAAATAAGGGTTAAGAGACAGTAAAGGAGTCGGATTGAAAGTAGAAGAATGGATTAGAAGGAGCTGAGTAAAAGACCCAATCAAAAGTAAATAAAAAAAAGGGTTTTGAAAAGTGGCAGGAATTCTACTGCAGAAGATATTTCAGTAACAGTGATAAAAAACTTTTCGAGTTAGAAGAAGGATGCAAAAGCAAAGAAATTTCAGAAATGGTAAAAATGCAGAACCAAAATAAGGGAAAAGCAGAGGGAAGGCGTTAACTTCTAGAGAGAAAATGGAATAACAAAAAAGAAAAAAAGGATTTTGGAAGTTGAGAAATTCCACAGATGAGGATTGGGTGAGCAAGTTCAGAACTTTTCAACTCACCCAATAGAAAGAAGAAGAAAATAATCAAATATATACCACAGAGAGCAGAGATGAAGAACAGAAATGAGTTTCAGGCCATAAAAAACAGGTTTTTGAAAATGAAACGCAAGTAGGGATCATTCCACTTTGAGGGGAGCGAAAGGAGAACCAAAATTTCTCTGATGACCCATAAGAGCATTATCTTGAGGGATGTGGTTCAAGAGAGAAGGAGAGGCGCGAGTGGTAAGGAGGGCAAAAAGACAAGTAACTCTGAAAGGCGCTTTCATGGAAATGTCCGGCTCGCAGCAATCCGGATGCCAAGACTTCTACAAGCCGGCTTATTTTGAAAGTTACGATTTACTGCTGGCTCATTTGACTGTTAATTTAATTGCTGGCTTAGTTGGAACAAAACCTATATTCCTATCGATTTGGAACGCAAAATCTCGTTCTAAATATAATAATACGTACCTCCTTCACCTAATATAAAAATTCATTTTTTATTTTTCACGCACACACGCAAAGGGTACCCTGCGTATGCAGGACTCGCTGTCAATAGGGGTGTAAACGAACCGAACACGAACGAACAAAGCTTGTGTTCGTGTTCGGTTCGTTTAAAATTTAGTTTGTTTGAAATAAGCTCGTGTTCATTTCTTAACGAACGAGCCGAACACAAACCGAACACGAGCTGTTCGCGAACGACGAGCCAGTTTGACATCCCTAATATTAATATATAAAAATAATATTATATATTAATTATATAACTTATATTATATAAATATACAATATCTATATTAGTATATTACTACTATAGTATATTAATATATTATTATTATTATTTTATTATATATTATAATTTATAAAATTTAATGTTTTAGAATATAATAAATTTTTTATATATAATTATTTTATATTATTTTATATTTCAAACAATAACGATTTGAACACGAACGAACGCATCACTGTTCGTGTTTGGTTCGTTTAACTAACCGAACGAAAAAAATTTGTTCGCGTTTGTCTCGTTTACTTATCGAACGAATCGAACACGAACTCATTGACGAACCGAACACAAACTGTTCGCGAACAACAAGCTTTTTTGACAGCCCTAGCTGTCAAGGATCTCTCAGGCGGCTATTTGGTTGGAAGGATTTATGTAATTTCTGTAGAGAAATTTTAAGAAATTTTAAGAAATAATTTATGGAAGAAAATGTGTTCTCATTATTTTGGAATGCAAAATCTTATTTAAATTTAAAAATTACATATATTTAATATGTAATTTCTAATTTGTAATTTAAAAATTACATGCAAAATTTCTGTTTTATTCTAATATGTATATTTTTTTCACACATTTGCAAGTCTCTGAATTCAAATCATTTGATTGAAAGGCGTAACTCTCAACTACTGAAACACGATTATATTTATCTATTTATATTATTTGTGTTGCATAGTTTAATTTTTTTTTTCATTTATATTTTAATAAATAATAATTATTTAGTGGGTTTGATTTGTTAAACTAATTTGTTAATATTTTCTTATAACATAGTCAACCAAGCCATCCGATGGACTCTTATTTGGCATTATATTTTTTTTTTTTATTTGTTTTTATAGATAATTATATAAAGTACTAGAAACATTGATATTTACAAATTAATCACTCAGATGATTTTTCGAACTATCGAACCAATGCATAATGCATTTATGCATGCCACGATCAAACTATTGAGACTTTGATAAAAATGAGAAATACACTGCCCGTTTGGGGCAGCGGTTTCCCTGCGGTGTGGTTTCGTACTGCAATTTGCGATATTTGTTTACAGCAATGCGACTGCGGTCTAATTAATTTTACGCAAAACGCGGGTCGCGGGTTTGACCTCGCAGGCCACATTCATTGCTATTACTTTTACTTCGCTAATCTCATGTCTTTCTTCCCTCAACAATCCTCTTACCCTAAAAATTTCCTCTCTCGAGTTCCTCGATTTCATGGCTCTCGTGCCTAGCCCTTATTTTCAGTTGTCTTTCAGTGGTTTCGGGTGATTGTTACGGTGAGCTTCCACTCTTATATATCTCTCTCCTTTATTTTCATCGGTTTGATTTGGTGGTTCTGCGCAGTCGGCACTCTATTCGGCGGTTCCCTTCTTCGGTTTCAATTAGTTCTTCTAGTGAGCTTTCTATTCTCCCTCTTCCTCTTCCTCTCCTCTTTGTTCAGCTCGGTTTGGAAGTTTTGTGCATAGTGCGCTCCATGTGATAGTTCCTCTTCTTCCTCTCCCAATTGTTCTGGTATTCTCTGTGTTATCTGCTAGTTGGTTCTAGATTTGCAATTAGGTGCAATGGTTCAATGGTGATGGTTTTTTTATTTTGCAATTTCGTGGTCTCAACCCTAAGCTTTTCAGTTTCAATGGATGTTAGCTTTTCGTTTTGGTGGTTTTCAGTGTAATATGTTTGGTAGATATTTTTGCTTCTTTATGGTGTGCAATGGTTGGTTTTGCGGTTGTGTTTGCATATGCAATTTGGAATATAGATGGTGGTGGTTGGAAATGTAAGTAAAAATCAATAGAAATGGTTGTCTTATCTATCCGATGGTTTTTGATATTGCAATTGCTTATGTGCAATAACTCATTTGGTATTTTTCTCTCTGCTCTTAGCATTTGTCTGTTTTTTAGTAGATGTGGGCTTTTCGGTTTGGTGGTTTTCGGTGTGATATGCTCGGTAGGTCATTTTGCTTCTTTATGTTGCATCTTGTTGATGGTTTTGAATATGTGCAATGGTTCATTTGATCGTAGTGTTTGCATATTCAAATTGAAGCATACATGGTGGTAGTTACATGCCTCTACTGCGGCGTATGAAAATTGTATTGAATACTATTTTTCACATGTCGAAAATGATGTCTCTGAGACCTGCGCCCACAATGAAGAAGGTGCAAGCAAGATGATAAAATTGAGGGAATGAATTACAAATGTTATAGTTGGAAGGTGATTGAGGGAACATTAATTTTTATTATATTTATTATAATAATTGTTGAAAACATTCACTATTTATTATATCTATGTTTTATACAATTCATGTATATTTCTGTTTATGCATTTAATATATATTGTATTAGATTTCTATGCAAGTAATATGTACTTATTTTCCTTTTGCTTGTATTTTTCTCCCACTTAGATGACAAGATAAGACAATCGTGAGTGATATATGTATCCTAAATATTATATGTTTTTTGTGGGTATTGCAGATCAATGATGAGACATTTGACATTATGTGTTCTTCTGGAGGACCAATATGTCGCTATTAGTTGGTCACATGCAGACTCTTAATGAAGGCAACCAAGTTCTTCTCTTTTTTCAGTGTTATCATTTTTTAGATTCTTCAGGATGTTCTTTTTTTGGTGGTATGCATATCTAACACACGAGTTGGGTATTGCGTGGATTAAAGATTGTCTTCTTGTGGTGACAAATTCGTTAGTTTATGTAATGAGTTTTCTAAGTCTCTAAAGATGCATAAAACTTTAATTAATTATTTCTGTTATTAGTTTTTGCTACTGTTATATCTAAGGGTATGTGTTTTTAAGCCTCCGGAAAGATGTGCTCGAAGATTTCCGGTATATCCATAGGATTACACAGATATTGTCAACTATTATATTGTCTGCTTACTTCATGATAGTCACATAACTACGAGAGATGGTTTTATAGGTGTCCAAGGAGAATTACAGAAAATTATGACTATTTTAGATGAGGAGATGGACTGAAATATTCTACCGTCGAGAGTAATCAAGCGTGGAGAGTTTCCTTGGAGGACGACTTATCTCGCGGCATATACCGTCTGCATTTTAAAAATAATATTATCATATTATTAATTATTATTTGTATTTTTTTTAAATTTTGGTAATCATGCTACTCACTGTTTAATGAGGTGTTTATCTTCATTTTGTAATGCTTTGCACTGGATATTTGCTTTCAAGTGTGGAATGTACTAATATTTTCTTTTACAAGCAGCATTACAATACATGAGCGTAATAATCATTTTTCCAAAAAACAACTGCAGCATAACTGCTATAAAACTGCAAAAAAACAACAGACAACTAATTTATCCGCACAGCATTCTGCCAAAACAAGCTGTAATTGTCCCAAACAGGCCCAAAGTTTGGGATTTTATCATGAATTTTAATGTTTGGAGTGAGAATTTAAGAAATGGATGAAAGAAGATGCTGAATTTGTAAATAATAATGTTTCAGGTGCTTTATATGTAATTACATCTTTTTTTTTTTTTTAATGTACGAGCTATTTTATTTTCTTTGGATTTGTTTAATTCTTTTCGTAGTTATTTCGTTAGTTTCTTTTTAGTCATATGTTGGTCCACTTATTTGGTGGGCTGTAATTGTAATTTTTATCATTTAGTGAAATGATTTGTTTTTTCTTGCTTATCCATATTTTATTTATTATTTATATATAATTTATTTTTTTATAAGTACCAAATACGATTTATTCATCGCGGCCCATTTTGTCGGAATGTTCACTTAGCACAACGTGCGCCGTGCGCGTCATATATTATGATAATTGATTTAAAAATCTGTTAAGATTAATTAAGCGAAACATTTTTGTATTATATATACTTTTATACACACACACACACACACACACACACACACGAGATAAACAATAAAATATTATATTTTGTCGTTCACTGACCCCATTATTAAAGCTTAGAGTAGGGGTGTAACAAGCCGAACACGAGCGAACCATGCTCAGCTCGTGTTCGGCTCGTTTATATTTCGAGCTCAGCTCGTGTTCGGCTCGTTTATATTTCGAGCTCAAAAATTGTGTTTGTGTTCGGCTCGTTTGCTTAATGAACCGAACACGAGCTGTTCACGAACAAAGTCCTTTTAACAACCCTAATCATGTAGCCATAAGACATAAGACAATAAGTGCTTGAGCAAGATTTAAAAATTATTATTTATATTAAAACATCATTTGAATCTAATTTAATAATTTTTATGCTATTTTCTTAATTAATATTTTAATTGATTATAAATCTTTGTAGTCATGTAGTCAATCAGATTTTTTTAAAAAACTACTTTATATATATATATATAGATATATATATATATATATATATGTATATAAACTTGAGTAATATTTCGAGCCAAAATGAGCCGAACACGAATGAACACATCTTAGTTCGTGTTCGGCTCGTTAACTTATTGAACAAAATTAACGAGCCAAACACGAGCTGTTCGACTGTTTTGACAGCCCTAGCTTAGGGTATAGGATTTAGGATTTAACCAATAATAATTGCCTAATCACTATA